TCCTCATGCAGACGCCGTTCTGTCCTGCTCTTTAAACTAAGAGTCTAATGAGGTGAAGATCTGCTTCCTCTCGGCACACCACTGACGCTTTATTAGACATAATGCAGGGAGGACACTCATCTCTACATCTCACATACTTTGCGATGATATAAACTGGACCCACAGTGTTGCATGCTGGGAGGACACTGTGGTTTTCACTGATCTGCAGTGTAATGTGTGAATTCAGTCCCTTTTTGCAGACGTATTTTGGTTGTTTGCATCTTATCTTTGCGTGTTTTGCACTCATTCTGAGTCTCTGAGTCGTATTCTGCCTCTTTGTGGGCGTTGTCATCATTTAGCAGACTTTTAACGTGTCTTTAAGGCAACACTTTGTCTATTTGCATCTGTTTGTGGTCTTACTCTCTTGCTTTTGCCTTGCTTGTTTTGGTTGTGTATTATTTATTTTAGCCTCTTTTGTTGCGATGTTTTGCGGTCGTATTATGTCTTTCTGTCAGTCATGTTGTGTCTCTTTAAGGTCTCTTTATGGTGGTGTCTTCTGTCCTCAACTGTGTGTTTTAGTGGCGAAAGCTTGTTTTATATCAGGACTGGTTTGTTTCGTCCACCTGGTTCATCGTTTTGTCTCCTCCCCCCCTTCAGAGCTTCCCCCCCGCAGTGTCAGAGCCGAATCCATCCCAGAGTCGATGCTGGAGACGGCCGAGCAGCTGATGGTGGAAGACCTTTACAACCGGGTGAAGGACATGATGGACGACCGCAGCCCCTACAACACCCCCTGCGTTCTGGACATCCAGAGGGCCATGGTGCAGGACCGCCTGGACGTCAAAGACAACGCCGTGGACGAGGTGTGGCCCAACATCTTCATCGCTGAGAAGTGAGTCCAACACACATCTGAGATACTGAGAGTGAGGGTCCAGCATCCGACGTATAGAGACACAACGAGACTCAAAGAGACTCAAAGAGACACAACGAGACACAAAGAGACACAACGAGACTCAAAGAGACTCAAAGAGACTCAAAGAGACACAACGAGACACAACGAGACACAAAGAGACACAAAGAGACACAACGAGACACAACGACACACAAAGAGACACAAAGAGACACAACGAGACACAAAGAGACACAACGAGACTCAAAGAGACTCAAAGAGACACAACATGACGACAAAGAGACTCAACAAGACTCAAAGAGACACAAAGAGACACAACATGACGACAAAGAGACTCAACGAGACTCATAGAGACTCAAAGAGACACAAAGAGACTCAAAGAGACTCAAAGAGACTCAAAGAGACACAACATGACGACAAAGAGACTCAACGAGACTCAAAGAGACTCAAAGAGACTCAAAGAGACACAACATGACGACAAAGAGACTCAAAGAGACTCAAAGAGACACAACATGACGACAAAGAGACTCAACGAGAGTCATAGAGACTCAAAGAGACTCAAAGAGACTCAAAGAGACACAAAGAGACTCAAAGAGACACAACATGACGACAAAGAGACTCAACGAGAGTCATAGAGACTCATAGAGACTCAAAGAGACTCAACGAGAGTCATAGAGACTCATAGAGACTCAAAGAGACTCAAAGAGACTCAAAGAGACACAACATGACGACAAAGAGACTCAACGAGAGTCATAGAGACTCAAAGAGACTCATAGAGACACAAAGAGACTCAAAGAGACACAAAAAGACTCATAGAGACTCATAGAGACTCAAAGAGACACAACGAGACTCAAAGAGACTCAAAGAGACTCATAGAGACTCAAAGAGACTCAAAGAGACTCAAAGAGACTCAAAGAGACTCAAAGAGACACCAAATGGTCTTGAAAGTTAAAGTGACTTTAATCTGTTTTATTAATCTAGAAGCTGTAACTCCATGTTCCAGGTCTGTGGCGGTGAACAAGGCCCGCCTGAAGCGCATGGGCATCACACACATCCTGAACGCAGCGCACGGCACCGGCGTCTACACGGGCGAGTCGTTCTACTCCGGCATGAGCATCACGTACCTCGGCATCGAGGTGGACGACTTCCCCGACGCAGACATCGCCGTCCACTTCAGACCCAGCGCTGAGTTCCTGGACGAGGCTCTGCTCACACACAAAGGTGAGGATTTACGATAATACCATTTTTATTGATTTTTTACATTTGTCACATCACACAAACACAACCGAACATTCCCCAACATTAGACATATGACAAATAAATAAAATAAAAAGTGTGCAGTTCCTAGAAATCAGTTTAAAGTACAGACCAAGAATATCATTACATTTGCAAATTAACAAATTCAACACAAATACAGTAAAGGCACATCCACAAACAGAGCGGAGTACAGCCTACAATTCTCCAAATAGATTAACCATATTCAACGTGTGTGTGTGTGTGTGTGTGTGTGTGTGTGTGTGTGTGTGTGTGTGTGTGTGTGTGTGTGTGTGTGTGTGTGTGTGTGTGTGTGTGTGTGTGTGTGTGTGTGTGTGTTGAGGTGTATGTTGTGTTGTCTGTTTGTGTTGAGGGTGTGTGTGTGTGTGTGTGTGTGTGTGTGTGTGTGTGTGTGTGTGTGTGTGTGTGTGTGTGTGTGTGTGTGTGTGTGTGTGTGTGTGTGTGTGTGTGTGTGTGTGTGTGTGAGACCATTGACCCAGAGCATCTCCACACTTACACAATGTTTTCCCAGAAGTGTTTTTTCTGAAGAGAGGTCTTGTGTTCGATGGAGATGATCACGTCACGGTCACACACTGAAAACACTCTCCATTGTTTCCTTAAGGTCACGTCTTTATTTAAAGCCAGATAACATCTACGTCATATGTTTATTTTTCAAAATGAGAGCCTCACCGATACATCCAAAAGTTTATTAAACTCTGAATCTGGAAACGCTTTTCATTTTAAATGAATGTCCGGTTTCTCCTTGGCTGTAGTTAAAACATATTTAAATGTGATACAACAATTAAGAAATGTTTTTCTGCTTATTATGTCCTTAATTCACTGAAAAAACTGAAACGTTGACTTGAATTAAACGCATTACGTCAGCAGGTTCCACATAACTTTATTAGGTTAGTTGAAAGTAATCGTATTAAGTGGCACCTAATATTTAAACTTTGAACTTAATATTATTGCTTTCGACTAACATAATGCAGCTGTGTGAAATCTGTTGACATAATGCATTTCATTGAAGTCAACATTTCAGTTTTTTCAGCGTTGATTGTTTGGTCTATGAAATGTCAATGTGAAAAATAAGTATGTGCTTCTTCCTACGATAAGATAAGAAGTACTTGTTGCAGCAGCAGAAAAAGACGAGGCGTTGAACAATAAAAATGCAAAGAAAACTAAATATCTGTGTTTTCCTGCAGGGAAGGTCCTAGTGGTGTCCATGATGGGCGCGAGCCGCTCCGCCGTGCTGGTGGCTTCCTACCTGATGATCTTCCACAACCTGAGCATCATGGAGGCCCTGAGCTCCATGAGGAAGAAGCGCTCCATCAACCCCAACGAGGGCTTCCTGAAGCAGCTGAGGAACCTCAACGAGACCCTGATGGAGGAACGGGACGATGACGACGACACGCTCAGCCAGTGCTCCGTCATCGACGCCCGCGCCAGGAACCGCATCTTCGGAGACGGTGGAGATGATGATGATGATGATGATGAGGACGAGGATACGGATAAAGACGAGGAGCAGAGCATGATCGGGGTGAAAGCGCACTCCATCATGATGGAAGAGGAGGAGGACGGAGGAAGCGTGATGAGCAGCGTGGCGTCCTCCGCTGCGGCGCTCAGGAGCAGATTGATCGGACCCAACAACCAGGGACCAGAGGTGGGATACAAATACTTCGTTACTTAAGTTCGTTTTTAAGAATGGATCAAAGCAATCAGAGGTGGGAAGTCGTAGAGTACAAATACTTCTATTGATTTGAACAGGATCCGTGTATCCATCATTTCCTGGTCTTCTCTAAAGAAGAGGGACCAATGAAAACGTTGTCATGTTGCCGTTGTTCAGCATGGAAACATTCATTAGCTAACAATGACATTATTGTTCTATTAATATAAAGGGAGGTCAGGTACTCTTTAAAACAGCTGCTAGTTATGGGCACTTTTTACTGAAGTACATTTCAAAGTTCTTTACTTTGACTTGAGTAAAGAAGTTTAGTCAGTACTTCTACTTTTACCAGAGTACTTTTAAACACGAGTATCTGTACTTCTACTTGAGTAAAGGATGTGTGTACTTCTACTTGAGTAAAGGATGTGTGTACTTCTACTTGAGTAAAGGATGTGTGTACTTCTACTTGAGTAAAGGATGTGTGTACTTCTACTTGAGTAAAGGATGTGTGTACTTCTACTTGAGTAAAGGATGTGTGTACTTCTACTTGAGTAAAGGATGTGTGTATTTCTACTTGAGTAAAGGATGTGTGTACTTCTACTTGAGTAAAGGATGTGTGTACTCTTGTCCTCTCTGCCTCCAGGGATCCACGCAGGATCAGGAAGAGATCGTCCTCCCCGAGCAGGAAGGCGGAGAAGACGACGATGAGGACGGACTCGACAGCATGATCCGAGAGTGGCAGCGGAGAAACGAGAAGTACAAAGACGACGACTGGTGGGAGGCGCAGCTGAACAGCGACGGAGAGGACGGGGAGTCTCTTTTTGGGGGACGAGTGAGGAAGGAAGGCGCTGATGCAGACGTGGAAAGCGTCACCAGCGAAGATGTTCGAGTCGTGAAAGAGAAGTTGAAGCGCCGCTTTAAACGTCCCCCGTCAGACGCCATGTCCACCTCCAGCTGCAGCAGCTACTCCGACCTGTGGAGGCAGAGGTTGAAGGAAATCGAGGAACAAGCGGCTGCTCGCTACCATAAGAAGGAGGACGAGGAAGGCAGCGAGAGCACAAACACAGAAGAAGACAAGACAAAGAAAATGGACGAGGAAGTGGAGAGCATCATGTCCGACACCAGCTCCATGTACAACTTCTGCCAGAAGAACAAGGAGAAGATGACGCCTCTGGAGCGCTGGCGAGTCAAGAGGATCCAGTTCGGCTGGAACAAGAAAGATCGCGAGGACGGCGAGAAAAGTTCAGTCGGAGACGGAGAAGGAGGCGAAGGAGAGGCCAAGGCGCCGGCCTTCCAAGACGTGAACCTGACGGCGTATCAGTCGTGGAAGATGAGGCAGCAGAAGCGCCTCGGGGAGGAGAACACTCACGAGATTTTGGAGATGAGCCGCGGCGAGGATTCTGCGACGGTGAAGCGGAGGCAGCGGCGCGAGGAACTCCTGGAGCGCTCCAAGAAAACTCTGGAAGAAAGTCAGTCCATTTGCAGCTTTGATGAGAACGAGAGCATGGTCAGCGGCGGGACGATCCCGCTTTCCGCTTTCTGGGCCGGCGCCGGAGTTACCGGGCCTCCAAGTGTCGCCAACGACGACACCATGTCCATGCTCAGCGGCAGATCCTCCGTCATATCTTCAGTGTCGCAGCCTCGCAGCGTCAGATCAGCGCAGAGCGTTCCTCCGATCCTCCCGGTTCCTACGATGCAGGGGCCGGGAGGAGAACCCATGGTGAACCTGGCGAGCATCCAGAACTGGATCGCTAACGTCGTCTCGGAAACCATCAAGCAGAAGCAGAGCGAGATGAGCCTGCCTCCGCCGTCACGAGCCGGGACTGACGTTAGCTACGGCGGCGCGGCGAGTGTGATTTCAGGACGTGTCGTTGACGACGATAGAGCGTCTTTGTTGAGCGGCGCTTCCTGTTCCAGCGCTTTGTCGCAGAGTCGCAGCCGGGCGACGTCCGTCCTCTCAGGAAACTCGGGTCTTACCCTCGGCTCCAAGAAAAACAAGATCACCACCACCAGCGTGCCGCTTTACAGCCTCTTCCAGGACCAGGTGGACATGGGGAAACTGAACGCCATGGACAAGGAGATGAAATCGGAGATGAGGGGCAAGATGTCCACCTACGAGAAGAAGAAGATCCTGGAGGACAACAAGCGCAGCACCTTGTACAAGAAGAAGAAACCGAAGGAGGACGAAGACGAGGAGGAGGAGAGGAAGAAGAAGGAGGAAGAGTTCCTCCAGGAGCCGAAGAAAAAGGAGAGACCTGAGAGGAGTTACGGCCTCTCCGGCTGCTTGAATCTGAACCCTGTGCTGGAGAGAGATAAGAACACGAGCATCGACGACTGGCTGATTAGCGTACGTCCTCCTCCCAGGAAAACAGAAGTCGTGGAGGATCCTTACGACGATCTCGACGCGTCCGCTTCCGAGTTCGACTTCTCGAGCCGCAGGGCCTCGTACGCCGTGGCCGACGAAGAAGAGGAGGAAACCTACGCCTCCAGATTCAGATCAAGGTTACAAGAGGAGCCTTCAAGTGGCGCCGATTATTCCAGCAACGGCTTCGCTCAGTCGCAAAGTCGGGGAGCAGGGAGGTCGCGCGGAGAGGAGAGCTACCACGATATCGCCACCAATAGGAAGTTCGCCAGTCATTCTCGATACGGAAGCAGCGAGACCGAAGGGAGGAGCAGCAGGAGGGAGGAAGCAAGCGAAGAAGACGACGATATCGCCACCTTCATCGCCCAAACCAGGCAGAGGGTCAGGGAACGAGCCGCCGCAGAATGTGAAGACGATGAAGTGTTGGAAGCCTGGCGAGCACAGCAGGACGCCAAATCACAGAGCAGGAGTGAGACTTAAGAGATTTAGGAAAGAAAGTGTGACGACTGGAAACGAGCTGTGAGGTACATCGAGGAAATGAAACTAGTACTTGTGCCTTCTCATCATGCATCAGATCTTCAAGAAGATTAATTGTATTGTCTTTATTGTTATTGTTATTATTATAACTAGTTTATTCCATATTGAAGGTTTTGGTTGCACCACCGTTGAATGTAAAACACATTTAGTAAATATTTTAATGGAAGATGACGTGACAAAAACTACTTTGTTTTATTGTTGCAATAAATATTCTGACAAATAATGGCTTGTGGTTATTTCTATATAATTACATTAACAAATTAATTTGTAATAATTTTACAAATAATAAAAGAGAAAGAAATAACAAATATGAAAACATGAATTATACTTTGAATGATCTGTTTGAACGTTTCTTAAATGTGTGAATGTTATGCTTTTGTTGTTGTTGTGATCCACGATAGTCAACTGGGTGTATTTGAGTTAATCGATAATGAATGTAATTGATACTTCGAGTCCTAGGATTTGCATGCTATCATTCCCCATATTATTTTCTCTACAACCACCTTATCTTTGGTCAATCTATCTGGATGTAAGATGACGGGAAAGCACTATTTCTCCATTTCTTTGAGCCTTAAACCAACATTATCAGTCATTTTGTCATGAACATGAGTTAATCAATACTAAAAAATTGTATTCAATATTATTTTTCTTGGTAGTAAGGGAAGAGGAGATTGAAGTACTCAATCACATCCATTCAGTGTCAAATCATAAACATTTCAGTGTGCAGTTCCTCGTATTACTTCTCACAATCCACCAAAAAGAGCTTAAAGAAACGCACCTTTGGCACAACGAAGGGACCCGGATGTAACGGGACCCGGATGTAACCAATTCATCCTTATCATGGTAAGCTAAAATGAAATGAAAGCAAGCGAACATTGAAACAAATGGTAAATCATAAATGCATAGGTCCAACACAATATATAAAGAATCAGACTGCCTTTAAAGATGTATACATATATGCTCCATGTTCTGTTGGAACAAAATAAATTAATAAATAATATACATATTTAGAAGCTTTTATTTTATAAGTCTTCACCGGAAGTGGAGTGCTTTTATACAATGTCTAACTTTACTATAATTTCTCTCGGTTTTATGAGAACAGTAACTAACTCATTAAAAGTTATACATTAAACTATTGTGTTTTACTCAGATAGTGTGTCTGCCCTCGTGCTAGTGGTATAAATAAATCTTTTAACATTATTTCGTTTTTTCGCCGTAATATGACTGAGTCATATTTCAATGTAAACTGGTCGGTAAAGGGCCTCAGTGAAATGTATATTAAAGGCATTATGTTCAGAAAGTGGGTATTAACGCCCTCTTGTGGTCATGGTGAGGTACTGCAGCTGCTTTTCTGTCAAGCTAGAGGAATTGCATATTACATACCACTTCCTGTAACATCCTACAAAATAAAACATGTTCTATAACAGACGGAAGTGTATTTTAGTTTTTTTAACGCTCAACTTTACTTTACGACTTTATCTGACTGCACGGTATTGTAGTCAACTTGATACAGAAACGTATTACCTATTCTACATCCACTCACTAAGCGGGAAGATATGTTATTTGATGGAAACAGTTCGTTTAGCTTCGGCTAATGTTGTGTGCTAATTATACGGTGGCCGAGAGGGCTCAACGCGCTGAAAACACATACGGCTAACGCTAAAGCAACCGGGAGAGTCGAGGGACTAACTGAGAACTTCAAACATTTAGTTATTCTTGCTGTTAAAAGATCAACAGTAATATATACAATATTAGTACGCTAGATACAAAGTCATTATCACATAACATGGTAACATCGTTCTGTTCCGTTATAAAGAGTTTTATTTTTGAAAGATATTACAGGAAGGGGTATGTAATATGCACTTCTTCTAGCCTTTTAGCGTCCAATTTACATTGAAATATGACTCATAATACGGCGAAATAAAGACAGGATACGTGTTAAGACGTGTATTAACTACCTAGCTCTCAGTTAGCCCCTCGAGTCTCCCGATTACCTTAGCTCTATGTGTTTAGCCAAAGCTAAACGAACTGTTTCCTTCAAATACAATGTCTTCCCGCTTAGTGAGTAGATGTAGAAGATGTAATACGTTTCTGTATCAAGTTGACTACAATACCGAGCAGTTAGATAAAGTCTTAAAGTAAGATTGATCGTTTTAAAAACTAAAATACCCTTCCGTCTGTTACATACAATGTTTTATTTTGTAGGATGTTACAGGAAGTGGTATGTAATATGCAATTCCTCTAGCTTGACAGAAAAGCAGCTGCAGTACCTCACCATGACCACAGGAGGGCG